TGTTACCTCAGTACATCCTTGACAAAATACATGTACTTAGCAAACTGCTGAACATTTAATTGCCCGGTAATTAATAGTGGAGTCACTATTGGAAGAACGTGCTCTGCTACAAATTCAATTCCATACTGTGAAAAAAGAAAAAATAAAAATAAAAAATCTAAACAAGGTAAGTGGGGCAGAACCAACAAAAAAATGTTCGTACAGTCGACAGAGTAGCATTAAAACATTTTGTACCTGCTTCAAAATTGAGTTCGCAACTCCAAGGGTACACATAAGAGTTGGAGCAGAACGATCAACAGCAATACATTGTTGAATCGTTTGCAAGATATCGAAAACACCATGCTTACCCAGCATGTGAACCATATCACCCAAACATAATAAAGCATTCACTCTCACCTGCCAACAAAAGCAAAGCTTCGACCTTAGAGTTTAGACTGACTAATTCACTCCAGGGTGTACCCAGTTTTATGGATATGAAACAAATAAAAAGGAGAAATGGAAAAAGTTGTTTTGACTGAACATTGCTGTCTCTCATAAAAATGAACACAAGTTTAATAGAATAACATATAACTTCCTAAAGTTACTCTTGTTTCAAGAAACTGTAGCATGAAAGCTGGGCAGTCAAAACACGGTCAACACATGAAGCAAGGAAAACATACCGCAGCAATGGTTGTTTTAAGAGCCAAGCCATGAACACGGGGCAAAATTGCTTGTTTCACTAACTGCAGGAAAGGTTACACAGAAAATGTGTAATTTAGTAATATATCAAAATAATACACAGCACACTTGACCAAATATTATCAAGGCCGAGAATTAATATATGTAAGTGAAGATTACGGATAAGGTACATTTGACAAAAAGGACTTTGCTGAAAACTTGGAGAGACTACAACCTGTAGATCAATGCAATCAAATACTCCGAAATATCAAGTTAAATAAGATAAATGGTTTGGCATGTATATCATAATGTCGTGTCAGGAGGGTGAAATGAATAGCACAAAATTTGTCAGGTCATTTCAAGAAATTTCGGGAGAAATGTACTCATTTCATAGAAAGAAATTGGAATTTCCGATATTAAGGATGCTGGGTGTTAAGTTCCAACGCAGGGACAGCTAGTAGAGAAGGATCATTGATTATCCATAATGTTATATATTCTGCTATTTGGTTATTGGTCCTCGGCCTCAGCCAAATAGTGATCAATCTCACATATGCCTAGACCTGTCAACTGATCATATATTTTAATTTTTCATGAATAGCCCAATTTACCAAGTTACCATCATGTACAACATTCAATCGTATCCTTCATCTTCTACCCACTTCCTCCTTCCAAGTTTTATTTTGTGAAAGCCTTATGCCTCTTATGTTTATATTTATTTAAAATTTTTAGAAAATTGGGTTTTTCAACATTCTCAAAAAATCATGACTGAACCTAATACTCAACTAGAGGCAGAGAACATAATATGATCTGTCTCACCAACTCCACGTTTTTAAGAACCACCAATAAGAAGCAGCTCGAGATCACCTGAACATCAAGTTTCTTTGCAAGCGAAACCGTCTTTTTCAGAACTTCCTCTTGCAAGCGTGCATCGGTTTCATCATAAGCTCGAGCGAACATAGGCAGGACATGAGAAATTAGGTGCTCCTGACTAGTCTGTCACAAGAGAGCAAATTAAGCTATAACTACAGATCGCACAGTTAAGATTAACATATAAGTAACACATGGCAGTTATCAGACCAGGTATGCTTTATACTATGAGTTTTAGGCTGCTAAAGGAAAAAATTTCATAAAATTAAAGCAGCAAAACTGAGGATGTTAAGATGGACAGGTGGTCATAGTGGAATTGTTAAACTAAAAAACATGGATATACACTAATAAGTGTAGGTATAACTAGTTGAGGATAAATTGAGCAAAGGACTACCTAAGTGGTTGGTGTCTCATGGCATCTTGACTTCAAGCAACTCAGGTTCACGAGAGCAATGCAACCCCATGATCTAAAGTTAGAACTTAGAAGAGGTAAAAGTAGGCAAAAATTAAAATGATCTCATGCGGTTGTGAAGACTTGATTTCATTGGACTTCTCTGGGATTGCAAAAAATGACTCATTATTAAAGTTTATTCAAAATAAGAGGGAGCTTTTAGTACATTTTTCTGTCCTTAAATTTCAGCAAATAGTTCTTTTGTACAGACTTCGAGTTTCTCTTAATTCCCCCACAACATAAACCATAATCCTTCAATTGACCTTCTCTCAAAAGTAGAAAACTAGGCTATCCAAATCAGGAAAAAAAAAAAAAAAAAAAAAAGGCACTCTCCAAGTTATTGCACACAGCAAAAAAATTCTCTCTTGGCCTCTTCGATACTCAAGTCCAAGCAAATGAAAAGCAGTGTCACATCATGGTTTACAATGCCCCCACTATAACAAATACGTAAACTCGTGAACTTTAGTATGAAACCTCATCGTTACTGGTAACAGGAATAATAATTATTCAGAAACATCATAATTACAAAGACCTCAACAGTTGGAAAGAGAGGGGCAATGTAGGAAGAGGTGAATCGTAAAAAAAGATACTAGAATGTTCAAACCCCATGAGAAAACGAAAAGATTTATTTGGTATACTTATTTCTCAAATAGATAAAATCAAGTGTATAACAGTTATAATACACATAAATGGCAATCCAGCACAGCCACTTCTGTTACCTTGTTGATAATAAGCTCAGCATGCTTCACAAGTAGCAGTAATGTCTCACCCACAGCCATATCCAGGACTGGAACAAGAGATGGTAAGGTCGATTGCTCAAAATCGTTTTTATCCTGCAGTAGTTTACATAAATGCCACCATAACCTCCTGTGACATTAGTCTTCTAAAAATAAAGAGAAACTGCAACTGATTAAACTTGCACACATGCTGCTGCGTCATTATCTTATTAATTGCATAATACAATGAAATGGTATATTATGGACAATACTTTTCACCCAGAACCCATTTTTGAGAACTTTAAGAAGTTTTGGACCCCATAATACAACCAGGATCAATGAAATTACAGAAAAAGCTGAGAGAAGTAATATAACCTTCAACTTGAAACATAAAAACGAGCAAGCAATATGCACAGAGAAATTTCCATGAATGCATAAAACAAATATAAGCTCTTTGAAAATAATATACACGTCTTGTAGACAAATTGTCTCAATACATGGGACGTTTCAAATGCAAGTATAGGAATTCAATTGACAAGAATATCATTAATTATTTATCGAAGAAAAGATTACTTCCCCAGTACATGGGTCTTGCATTTTCTATATTAATGACCATGGTATTAGGCATTGCAAACTTAGCCCCAGTATCGATAACAAACTCTGAATATTTTAACATTCATGTCTAGATAAAGAAGTTCACAGTATCAACTATCAAGTCATGTGCTACATACAGAAATGCATGTGCACAGACACAAAATGAGTTAAATCAACTCCAAGCTTAAAAAAGTAGGTAAATGGTCATTTTAACTGATGATATGTAACTCCATAACTTGACAAGGGTACTTTGAGAACACAAAGATAACTAATCGAATTACCTGAGACTCTGCTATGGTCAGAACCATAGGTAGGATCACTGGCTGCATTACCAAATTTCGAAGCTCTGCGCACAGAGGGGGAAGAACCTGCATTCGTCAGCAAAAAGAGTTCAATTTGCCAAACCTTCATACGAGATAATGACTAGACTAATTATTACACATTAAAAATACAGCCATTGGATCATCAAAGCCATCAAAACAGAAATTGGGGAAATGGATGAATATGTAATCTTGAGACATCATTCTTCCTAGGGGTACTGGGATATGAGCTCAAGACTATTAGAGTTAGGACAAGGAAGATAATTACATTGGATTCTTGTATTAAATCCCTAACTTGATTACATATGTAGATTGTTCAAAATGTTTTTAAGTAGAGGAAAATAGTCAAAATCAGAGCATATAGTCTACAGCAAGACAGTAAAGCAGAATCACATAAATTGGAATGCAAGATCTCGAACCTTATACCGCAATACACGAGAGTCAAAATCCTTCCACATGTCTGATAATGCTTTTAGAAACTCTGATTTCTGCATGTTATCTCTCTCCTGCAGGCAATAAAGGTAATCTCACATTCCATTTTAACCAAAATTGCATCATGTAACTTCTCCAAAGGAGCATGACAGAACTAAAAGCAAAAAATAATTGCATACAAGCATGTGATCCAGGAAGCGGAGAGCACGCAACCTAGTATCCTCCCGGAAAAAAGGTGAGCCTGAAAACAGTGAACACATATTTGGTGAAAAACACAGTTGAAAGACATGTAATTGTTAGTGGGACAACTTAGAAAAAATTTAGCATGGGAGTACTCTTAATACTAAAGCTAAAAGATAATACTAGACAAATCAAGCCGTACATGGCTTAAATGCTATAGGCTTCAGCAAGTCGCTCTTGCCCTTCACATCCTAGAGACCAACTGAGCATGCACAAAACAAAAGCTCGGCCATGGCTGAGAATTTAGTGACTTCATCTGGAAAGATCCTAAAACATTTACTAGTGAGGTGCCAAGACCTTAAAAAACTGGTAAACAAATTTTCTTCATCATTACGTCACTTTTTTATTATATCTAGGATCATTATTTTATTTTTATTTTATTTTTGGTTTTTGCAAGTATGGTATGTAGCAGTCAGCTGAATTGCTAGTTATCAAACATTTTTGTTCTTAAAAGAAATAAGCATTACATTAGAATCCATGCATGGATCCATCTGATATAGATTAGCATCTCTCCATTGCTGCACTAACTTAAAAATTGTCCAACTCACTACTTTTCTTGTCATAGGATCATATAGGACTGCACCTTGCAAAGCAACAGAGGCCATATAACAACCCCCTTCACCCAAAATAAATAAATAAATAAAAGGTTGAAAAAAGAAATGGGAAGGAAAAAATCTAATGTGCGTTTTCTTGTACAATCCTTTGTCCTTATATATCAGTACATCCTATACACGAAGTTGTAATATTCAGAAGCCCCATCTGTACCTGTAAAATCCATGGGTGACGGCCTGATAGCCTCATTTGCAGAAAGCATTCTCTGTAACTCGGGTACCAACTCCCTCGGAATGGAGGAAAAAGCCTCACTGGATAAGTAAGTCAAACTATTCATGTACTGCAGGAAAGTTGCACAACAACCACTAGTATTAAAACAGAGGATGAACTTATAAGTAACAATTTTAGAAAGGGTGTGATGACAATAATAATAAAACAACAATTGCATCTGTTTTAGGAAAACTATAACAAGAAAACTTCAAATCGTTGTGAAGCACTTCAGCAGATTGCAACCAATGATACAGAATTCCTTGGCAAGTTAGAATACTTGAACGTCAACTTGAGGCTTTATTTGAAAGATCTAAAAAGAGATTAATTATCATGGCATTTAATTGTATTTACAAGATAGTGAACATGACTAGAAATCAACAACATAGCATCATGAATTCCAAGTAATTGTAGTATATTAGTTAATACAAAATAAATAAATAAATCTACGTAAATTTGGGTATACGGATCTCAAATAGTATTCAAATTAAACTGAAAGGGATTTGAATACAAGTCAAAATCCAACCATTGTGCAATCTTTTGACAGATCCTTATGGAACCAATTTTCCAGCAATCTGTGACAGGATTTTGATGTAATCTCTCAGTGGACCCATTGAACCAATATCCAAAATTCTCGTCTCTTGAGATTTAATATGACTCAATATTTCTTAGTCAAATTTTGAGCAGAAGTAGTAACCAATCTTGATTCCATCTATACTCGTTCGTTAATTTGACATCAAATTCATACTGTAAAGACCAAAGTTCTTTCTCAAGTTCTTGTAAATAATGACTTCAAAACAATAGTAATTAGACAAATTCCATCAACAATGCCCCTAAACTTTATTGGACAGAAAATTATAATTCTTTAACAACATTAGCAAGCAATAACAAATAATAGGAACGATTAGTTTACTTATAAGTAAAAGTAATATAAACTATCCAAATATATTTTTAGACAGTTTACTTTTTTTAAGCTTAGCCAAAAATTTAAAATGTTATCATAAAGTTTTAAATTTTTCATAATTAGACGGTCGTACATTTTTCTAATACTGTGTTGCAATATTCACCGTACTATAACTATGCACCATAATTCTCCCTAATAAACCCCCCCCCCCAACCCCCAAAACAAAAAAAAATCCTATCCCTCATAATCCCAACCGCCCAAGTATAATAGAGTGTTTACCTAACGCACACTACATGTACTTGGAACAATTACAACACTTCATTGCTTATACCCAAATGTACACAGCATGTATGTGATTTACTAGTTTCAGTGATTAAGATTATTTCTTACTATCAAGATGAACCAAGTCATTCCAATAATACTCGTAAAATTCCAAGAAAAAATGAAAAGAATACCATCTTCGCATTGTTGTGGCAATCAAACAAAGGCTTGTGAACAATCAAGTGGTAGGCCAGGCATCCGAAACTGAAAATATCAGAGGAGCACCCAACTGAAGATGTTTTACTTCGAACCAGTTCAGGGGCAGTGTAGTTTAATGATGGCTGAAGTGGGAGAATAGAATCTTCAACGTCATATTCCTATGAATCCAAATCAGATTAGAATATCAGCCCAATATATCATTCATGTTTCACATTGAAACCTATCGATTTGTTTTTAATAAATCACATCAAAATGATATCATAATTTAACATAATAAAAAACAACCATATAAAACACAGCCCTAAAAAAATAGTGCTAACAATTTGGTGAAATACTGTGTATTATGTAAATCTAGATCAAATGCTTTCTAATCTAAGAAGATGCCCCAAGGGAAGTTAAAATTTAAAAAATAAAATATACACACACACACACAGAGACATACATACATACATATACATATAATCAACACCAATAATGTCAACATTTTTGTTCAAGACTACTTCCAAACACACACACACATACATACATACATATACATATACATATAATCAACACCAATAATGTCAACATTTTTGTTCAAGACTACTTCCAAATGCTAAGGACCCATTTGGCAGAGCTTCTACTTCTTGCAGAAGAGCTTACTGAAAAGGCCATATTGGTCCAACTTCCTTTAAAAGATCTTGTAGCCACACAAAGAACTTTCACAAAATTATCTAAATAGGTCCAAAAGCAAGTTTTGACTATTCAATAGCCTTGCCTAATGAACCCTAAACCATATCAATAATTATACATACCCAAAGAAGATGCTAATTAACAACACAGATTTTGAACAACAGTGCATTTAAAAAGCACGGTGGAGGAGATTTTGATGGAAATAATATGGATGCTTCCCAAGATCCGCAGGTTCATTACTCACAGCATAATGAAAAGAAGGCACGTTTGCAGAATCATTGGAGGACTGATCAGTTGATATCGCAAAACCAAAGCCACCAAGCTTCCAGGCTCCATTTGATGTAATCAGGACAGCCTGCAACAGAACAATGCCCAGTATTTTTATCACATGATATCTATATCCTACAAGAGGAAAATAAAACCAATTCCCTGGCGCAAAAGAGCCTAAGGAAATGTAATATTCTAATTTCTATCTGAATATCATTCAGAATTGAGTGGCTTCTGTTTACTTTAGGAATATTCGTTAAAAAATGAACATGTGGCACTGAACTGGCAATAAAATAATATAAATATCTAGATCGGCATGATAGAGCTATCAGGCTATACAAGATTCCCAAGTAACATTTCTAAATTCTAAATACAAGTGTTCCAAAGAAACATTTCAAAATTCTATGTAAGTGTTGAAATATAGAAAACAACAGCAGAGCAACAATATTACAACCCATTGTCACTGGCAACAAAATCCAAAATCAACTTTTGAAGGCTTTGTATAAGATTCTCAAAGTCCAAAAGTTTTACGAGAAAAAAAGGATTAGATTTAAAACTATTAACAACCAAGTCTTATTCACAATAAATTTGAGTTCAGCTACATTAACCTTTTCCGCCACTACATTAAGTCCATCAATACATCCGTTGGAGGATCTAAAAAAGTTAGATGCTTCATAACCACGTCAAGCCATCTACTTGTAGAACAAAGAACTAGGTAGAAACAGATCTTTAAATCTAATGAGTGAGAACCAAAAGAATGATAAAGACTTCTTTAAGCCCCAATGGAAGACAAATGTTGAAAAACAGTAATAAAAAATACTAATACAACTTAAAACTAAGATAAAAATATGGTGAGATAATTGGACTACTGTAACAAGTAGCAACTATGCCCTTTAACTTTTCTTGCTCAACAATGTACAAAGTTAAATAGTCAAATCTGTGCAGCTACTTTCAACATATCCACACTATTATTATTCCTTTTCTTCACGAGATCATATAGCTAGCATATAAACATTAAGAGAAAAAGGAACATATTTCCTTTGGACACAAACGCAAAAAAGAAGGAAGAAAGGGAAACAAAGACAGCTTAAAGGCCCAAACCTAAACTGCAAAGAAACAAAATACAAAGAAAGAATAATTTGTAACCTCAGGTGATAAAGCCCGGTGGATGAGGCGAGCATTGTTATGAAGGAAATCCAAGGTTTCTGCGATCTGGAGAAGACCGTGCTTCACCTCCAACAGTCCCATTTCCTGAACAAATTAAAATAGGCTGAATAAAACCGCATTCCTCAAACATGGTTTATAAGCATGAAATGCATAATAAAATGTTGTTTGCCAACTCCTCCAACTATGTTAAACTAGTGGCACATGAAACACCAAGGAAAAAAAGGGGATTCTATCTCCAAAATAACCAAGAATTCTAAAGGTGTAGAAACAATAGAAAGAAGTTTCAGGTTACTCAAATTAATTTTGAAATCGTATATTGGTCAAAGTTAAATTGAGAGTTGATAGCATTTTACACGTAACAATGATTGCCACAAATTGGATAGCCTTAGATTCAAGGTTCAGAAAAAGGACAAGGATATGGCACAACATCGAGACACCAACACAGGAATTGGCGAAAAGTAGAACTTAACAGCCTAATAAACATTGAATAAGAAAAGTTCATATCATATAGTATATAATCAGAATAATTTATTGTATCTGGAAATGCTGAAAATCTAAATCCTAGAATCATTGTGCTTGTAATAATATATAAGAAAAATATAAAAAAATTTCGATAGATTGTTGGATAATTAAATGTAATATTAAAGAAAAAGAACAAAGAATAGTTGATTGAATCGGTCACCAGAGGTATCATCGGTCTTGGATGACACCTCGCATTTTCACTTCTCTTTCTTCTGCCCGGTTAAATATTCTTCTTCATTTATCCTCTTGAGCCCTAATATTTGTTATGTTGTTATGTCCTAATCTAAACTCATATTAAATTTTTCTTTGAGCATGCCCTTAACAATAATGTGTTTTCAGTACGTCAACCTAGTAAAAGAACAGAAATATTTAGGAATTCCTCGTAGTTAACCATGACATTGCCCCGTGCATTCATTACAGAATTTTATATCGAGCATTTGCGTATACATGTATTTTAATAGATAACATTTTTGCTATAAGGAATCCTCTTAGATAACAATTCAGTGGGAAATTTAATATGCTTTTGCAACATAGAGAAATTACAGTAATTATAGTCTCCATCCTTTGTGTCAAAGAGGTAGGCCTCCAAAATACACAAATTCCACTTGTTTTTGTCATTTTTAGTTGTATAATTGTATCAGCTTTGATCAAGACATACTAAGTATCAACCAAACACTGGCGGATCTAGGGGGGGACTGGGCTGTACTACAGCCCATCCCCCCAGCCCAATTCATAGTTAAAAAAAATTGTGTGTGAATTTATTTTTTTTCGTATTAGCCCGTCCTAAAAAGTTTCCCGGATCCGCCCCTGCAACCAAATGAAGTGTCCATAATATGTGCATACAGCCTTGCAACAGTCTTTGAAGAATTATAGGTGAAATTCCTACATCTCTTCGACTTTTCTCCTAGATGATGCAGCTCACAGTAACAATTATCAATGATAGTTCCCTCACCTGCTTCTAATTTTTCTTGTTTTCTAGCATCAATAAAATAAAGCGTGTAGATAGATTCATCATTATTCTCACCACAAGAGGTTAAGTATAACCAGCTCCAAGAATTTTTTGCATTTTATTTTGATGGAGTGAGAGATGAGAAAGGTGGGAAGAGGAGCCTATAGACTAAACATTTCAGTTACAGCAATACAAATCTAATCATCTCGCGTAATCAAGCTAATTTCAGCAAGATGCCCTCCAAATCTTCTTTGAGGGCCTAATTATACATGTTTAAAAAAAAAAAAAAAGGATTTACCCCTAACTTCTATCCACCTAAGGACATTTTTGTTTTAAATCATTCTTCTTAAACTTGAGTTAGAAAATTCCATGTTAATTTCTTGATTGAGTCTCCCCCTGCAATGTTATCAAAGGAACATGGCATAATCATAGTAGCCTAAAGTCCCATATTTAGATTGCCAAGTTCAAAGTTTAATATAATTCATTTCAAAGGATGGCCGATCTACAAATAGCTAAATCTACAAATAAAATGGGCTCAGTTCCAAGTGTGTCAAAATCTTACAAATAGAACTCATATCAATCTGACTTCAATTACTACATAAACTCACAAATTTCCCAAAAGCCATTCTACGTCAAAAACCAAATAATGATAGAAGAACGCTCCATTGTCATCTTTAGGGAGAAAAAACTAACACCGACACTTGGAACAAAACGACACAAATTCAAGCTCGAAATCAAAATGGCACTCTCGAAGTACTAAACTCATCCAAAAAAGAGTCATCTATTATAAATTATCAAATTTATAAAATATCCACAAAACCGGAACGTCAAATTCTAAATTGAAGACCATACCATTCCCTTGAGCTCCTTAGGCACTTTGGCAATATTCTCCACATTCCCCAGTGCATTAGCAGCGGATGCGAAAAGTGGTTCAGTGACCATAGCCAGGGAGCTTTTGCTCTCATCCAACGCATGGACAACGTGGACAACCCCGGGATGCCGCAGCCTCACTAGCCTGGCAGCATCGGCCCGAATCACGTCCAGGAACGCATCCTCAGCTGCTTTCGAAAGCCCAGCCTTCTGTCGGGCCTCTGACAAGACCCGTTTGTCCAATACCCATACGCAGACGGTCGGATACACGGTCGGCAAGTGGCCGCCACGTGACCTAGCGGAATAAAGCTTCCAAGCCAGACCCGGCCCGGCTGAGCCGATCTGTTCCGAAAGCTCGTAGTCCTGTAACGCTCTAGGTAAACCGGTGACTTCTTGAACCGTAGTTTGAACCGTTTTTTCGATCGCTGCAGAGGCCTTGGCGAACGCCTGGGATAGAGTCTTCATATTCAGGGACATGGTTGGGATTCTTAGTGAGGATAAGTTTCGTTGGGAAATGGAAAAAGTTTGGCGGCGGCGGTGGTGGCGGAGGGAGATCGGAATTGAGACGATTGGACTTAGCTCGCTCTCTGATCAATAGGTCGCGGAGATGGAGTGAAATGGATGCCACGTTGGAATCTCGTGTCTTTCAGCTATGCAATAAATACAAAACAAATGAATGGTGGCGATTATTTTTATTTTTAAAGAGTTTTAAATAGTATTTTTTGAAAGATTGTATAATTAAAAATAAAGAAAAATTTAGAATTTACGTATAAAATATTTTATTGTATAGTTATGTGAAAAATGATCCTGTAAAAAAATTTAAAACAATGGAAATCAAACTGAGGTGAGTATTAATTACTCTAATTTTTTATCAATATATACTTCTCTTGTTAAGTAGTAATAGTAACAGGTCACAATTAATAACACGTTTAATTATCATTCTTATAAAAATGAAAATGAAAAATATAGTCTTTATGGGACTCACACAAGAGAGAGGAAGTCAAATATGATAGTTTGATGTGATGGATAACGATCATATTTTTCATTTTTTTTAGCAAACAATGGGAAACAAACGAGTAATAAATGAAATTTGTGTTGCCATTGGAAGGTGTGTGATTCTTCTAAAGCCATCGAGTTATAAACTTCATTATTTTACAATTGACAATAATTCGATCGTTAATTACCAGAAAGTGAAGAAGAATTATCATCATCAATTCAATCAGACTGGAATACTAAGTTTATCTAAATCCTAATAAGAATAATATATGCCACACCAATGGATATGCTTAGTCGATTTAATCATTGCAACGATAGTGTCTTCAAGCTATATGCAAAAACGCTTAATCCAATTAATTAAAGCCTTTGAAAAGAGAGTCTTATCTCGAAGAGCGGCCCCAATACTATGGACATTAACGATTTATCCTCCTCGACCAATCAAAGTATTGCAAGGGTACTTGAGTGGCTTAAGTACACTCGCATCGTCATAATTGATTGATATACACCGTCCTTTTCCATTCCTAAACCAAAACCCTCAGCACTCTTATTTGAACTCATTTTATTCCAATCTAACTAATTTCTACTCCTAAGAATCTTCTATACTTGCACCACATGTTGACAAAATCGATTAGATTCATTTTTTCTTTAGTTTCAAGTCTAGTCACATTAAACCTTCCAAGATGATCAAGTAAACGTCGCATAACTTTTTGCCATCAACATACTTAATCAAGTTAGTACAGACATTTCACTTACTTTTCTTCTTTGTAAATTTTAATAAAATAAAAATATGCCAGTTCATTGGAAAAAACAAAACCACGAATCAACTCTAATATTAAATTAATTATCTTTTTGGAATAGATTAAATTTTCGATTGTTCTCAAGTTATAGTACATTACCTTCAAGAGTCAAAGTTTACAAGTAGAAATAAAAATGAAGAGCGGTTTGCATATGCCCACGGTTGAATGGAAAAGTTGTCTGAATGAAAAGAGTTAAAGTGGAGGGAGAGATGCACTATTATTCGTTGATCGCATTAATTCGAAAAAGTGTACTCGAACGTCTTTAAAACTCTTTCCTTCAAACATGTCTTGTTCCAAATGTATTGTCTAATCTTATCCAACAAAAACAAGTATGAAATTCTTTATCTAGCTCCAATTTTTGGGCCTAATCACTCGTGCATTGAAATTTTTAACAAAATTCAAATATTTGCCCAATTTTAAAAAAGTAATTTCTTTTGTTAAATCTTAGTCCTTGTTTGAACTTCATTTTTCAAAAACTCATTTTTCTCCATACAAATTTTCAATCATACATTCTTTAGAAGATCACTATGAGAAAATCAACATTTCCTAACAAAATGGAGCTCAAATAAATTTCAAAAGTACATTCTTCGCTAAGAAAATTTATTATTATAGAAAGTAATAAGAAAATTTTTGAAACATAAGCACGTTATGCATCGCCTAGGGGAAAATGTGCTATTTTTTAGATATGTCCCACTTCGATAAATATATGCATGTAACATAGAAACCAAGAAACTCGGGTCTATAAAAATCTAACTAAAATTGCACATGCCCAGTCCAAAGTCGATCCAATTAACTCAAATTGGTTTTGGACCAAAATCTGGAAGCCAAATTTAGATAGTGGAAACTACGTGACAACAGGTATTTAGATATTACTGTTAGGTCTAAAAGTGTAATTGGCAATTCTGTGGACAAAACGGACTAAATTGTATAATTGTAAAAGTCAGGAACTTAATTGAACATTAGTGTAAAAGTCAGAGACTTAGGATGCAATTTGTATAGATGAGGTAAATTAGTGTTCGAGTCGTTGAAGGAGTCCAAGATGTCCAAGAAAATCACACAAGATCATCGGAATGTAATTGGAAGTCTAAAGGATATCAAAGAGCCGCACAAATTATGTTCCGGATTTTCAGTCATAACTTGTAACGCATTTTTTACATAGAAAATGTTAGAATTTGGACAAGGCTATTTCTAGAAGAATTGTAACCCTTTGAATTATCTTTCCAATGCAACTTTAATCACCTCAATCTAACATTGGAAGAGAAAGTTATGATAAAAAATAGTGACGACTGCTCACTGTCGCTCTCTTCTCGCTGGCATTTCGCTCAAGCAAAAAAAAACAGAATACCTCTCGCTCCATTCTCACTGGCTCTCACTCGAGCGACACTCCTATGCGGCAAAAATCCTATTTCGCGTCTTTGAAGTGTTTTACTCGGCTCATACCACCTAAACACCTTCAAATATAAACACTCAAACCCTAGGACGAAATTGAAGAGGTTGCTACATTATTCTTTCATTGCAAAAGATATTCATAACATCTTTGAAGAGGTCCAAGGTGCAATTAATTGGAGATTTTATCTACATCAATCTTGTGATCCGGCAACATTGTTTTGGGTAAAAACATTGAAACTACATACCCCAAAACACTTTACTTCCTTAATCTATTGAGGAATGAACTCTCTCATTGGAAGATTGAGAGAGGTGGATTGAGGCGCAGTTACAAACACAAGAACAGACGATTCTTGGTGTTCTACTTGGTGATACAATCAGTTAAGGACCAAGAGGTTGTAGTTGACATCAGATTGGGCTGCAAGAGGTAGATCAGGAAGTCTAGCAAGAGGCTAGAAGTATCTATAGCAGTAGATCGTGAGACTAGAACAACGGGTCTGATTGGGTACAGAGTTTGGTATAACTTGTACTTTCTGAATTGGTATAGTGGAGGTAACTGGCTTGGTCCCGAAGTTTTGCCCACATCGGGGTTTCTCCGTCATCATATTGTTTGTTATTTACTGCTTTGCATAATATACAAACTGCGACATTCCAATATAGGTTAATTGACTTGTATGATTAATCCCCTAGACAACTAATTAAAGTGATTTGTTGCTTTAGTTAGATTAATTCCGCACGTAAGGTCAAATTGGTTAAAGTGAAATCTAGAACGTAAATTTGGTAACGCATAAAATTTGAACTTGATACTGTATCACGTTAGTCGAACTTTCTAACATATATAAGCATTCTAGGTCAAAAAAAGATTTCAATTACAATTCATAAATCAACTATGAAATTTACTTGTTCACATATCAATTATTAATTTAATTATATATATTAATAAAATTATTGTGAAATGTGTGGTTAAAAAATAACAAGATGTTTTGAATTTAAGCGTAATATTATTTTCTTTAAAAATATATAATTGAAATGATATCAAAACACCGTTTAAGAAATTTTTTATTTTTCTCCAAAGAATGGAGTTCAAAGAGGGCTAATACTCATTTGTATCGTCGTCACCGATGAATATTTCCTCTCTACATTTTTATTCTTCTTCATAGTACATCGGCGGCGATAGCTCTCTCCACCATTCTTTTTCTTCTTCACATTGCTCACAGGCATCTCGTCGGGGTGAGCGCCGCTTCTTCTCTGCTCACGACTCCACAACGCAGGCAGGGATTTGAGAGCGACGTCACTTGACGCAGCTACAGCCTGTGGTGAACAGCCACTTCTCGGATAACTTCCATTCCCTACGGTCACTTCTCTGATGCCTCCACTCCAATTGGGTGGACCCACTCCCAAGACCTCTGATCTGTTCTTTGTTCCCTATGGATTTGAGGTGGTGGAGTTGGTAGGTTTGGGATTTTTTTTTTTTTTTTTTTTGGTTTGGGTGGTGGTTTTGGTGTGCTGTGGTAAAGATGGAAATGGAGATTCTGTGTTCCCCGTGATTGTTAGTTGGTTGGTTTTGTGGTAGATTTTGATGCGGTGGAGGAGCAATTTCAGCTAAAGGGATTATGCCATTGGACATAACTAGAGAAACAACTACTAGGACCACAGTCTTCTTTGTAATAGATGGTCCTACTAGTTACAATGTGTTATTAGGAAGAGATTGGATACATGGAAGTCACCGTATACCCTCATCGCTCCATCAATGCCTAGTTTTTTGGAATGATAAGGGTGAAGCAGAAGTGGTGCAAGCCGATTATAGGCCTTTTGTCGCAGAAGCAAACTCAATAGAAAGGTTCATGTACGAAGGAAATTATGGACCTGTCAGAGTAGTCCAAGATGAAGAAGAAACTCAAATTGTTGCATAGAGTCAAGAGCCATTTTCGATAGATGCACTCACTGAAATGTTCAGTCAAATGAGGCCAAACATAGTGGCCCTAGAAGAGCCAGTAATTGGCAAAAGAGTAATCAAGGAGTTTTAAATGAGTTGTAAGCAACAAAGGCAAATAGTCGATGTTCAGGCCTTCAAAGCCAAATTAATGGCTTTCAATAAAGAATGTAAGGACAAGACGAAAGAAGAAGCAGCCTTTGAAGCATTGAGAGACAAATTGACAGTGTTCGAATTGGAACAAAATATTGGCCGAGAAGTCAGCAAGGTGGATTGTTTAGAAGAAGAAGTGCCTATAAGGGAATTGGACGGTGAAGTAATGAGGATCACCAAGCCTGGATACGCTCAAGCACAGGACCCTCTGATTAAAGTCAATATTGGCAATGAAAGAGAAGATCGCCCAATATTTGTCAGCCAGATGCTCGATCAAGAGGTCAGTGATAAATTAATCGCTTTATTAAAGGAATATAAGGATTGTTTTGCTTGAGAATATGAACATATGTCTGATTTAGATAGAGGTTTGGTGGAACATGGAT